GCGGAGGGCCTCGGCCTTGGCCAGCGGCAGGTTCGTCTTGGAGCCGTCTGGCATTGGCTCTATCAGACACAGGGAAGCTTCTGGCAGCTTCTCACAGAATCCACCCCTGTAGCCCTCCTGCTACCTAAACCTTGCCACGCAAACCCAATACACCATTTTATAAGTTAAAATAAAAACAACTACTTGCTTCAAAGCAAAAGACATTAAGAGCTCACAAGAAATGGGACCTTCTTCTGTTAACTCTACTGAAATTTTCTGAAATAATACACCCTCAATGATCTTGGTTGATCCAGATGAAGAGAGAAATAGGGTTGGATTTAAACATCAGTCGGCTAAAGAAACTTAGAAGCCTTTAAGTGAGATCAATGCATGAATGCTTGCATCATACTTCCTGTCATTTGAGTTAGACTGCTCAGGCACACGAGGTCAGGTCAGCTGGCCATCTAGCCCTTATCTCCAAGAGTGACCAACAACACACATGTGGAGAAGAACGGAAGAACAGGATGAGTGTATAATGATTCTTTCCTAAGACGTTATTGTGCCCTCCAATGACTCGAAAGTTACTTAGCCCGGGGGTGGGGGGAGGGCTGTGTGTGTTTAAACTCTTTTGATTGTTTTTTTTTCTCAGTGAATTTTTAAACTCATGTAAATTTTTAGCACATACACTATCCTGTGGCTGAAGAGGAAGGAGGGAAGGGACCTTTATTAATAGCCATTCATGAATGACTTGAGCACCTCCCAGCACAACCCCCTATCTCCGTTGGTGACTATCTCCATCTCTTCACTGTTAAAAACACTTCTTATTTTACTTATTGTTTCTTATAATTTTAAACAGCTCCTTAGCCACGTGAACACGTTTCCTCATATAGCATGTCATCTAACTTTCCCTAAATTCTAGAGAGGATCTCAGCTGAGAACCTTTCAGACAATATTCCTTTGATCTCCCTATTTACAAGTCTGGCAGCTCAAATTCCTCAGGGTTCCATCCATCCTCTGAAAAATACAGCGTCTTTTTCCCTATATACCATATGACAATGAAAGCTATTTAATCATGCAAGTTGATCTGTGAAATCCTCAGGTCTGCCCTTCTGCACAGACAGCTGGGGATTGATCACTAGTGAAATCCTAGATCTTTCTGATCTTCTGTCTTCTCAGATGCAAATCATATGAGTACGAAAATTCACACTTAAAGCCAAAGAGAAAAATTAGACAGGTATCTCTACTGTTTTTAACTACGAGACTTCCAAGCTACCAGACTTCATTTAACACCAAAGTAAATGGTCATTAGTGATGAAAAACACTTTGGAAATTAAATTCCACTAGACAGAATTACTTTAAATACTCAAGAGATTCATTGAAGAGGGATGATTTGCACCTGACTGAAATCTACCCACTGGCAGATAACTTAACAAACAACAAAGAAAGTTTACTGCAACACAGCGAGACTTTCTTCATTTATGTTTATAGGAGTGCTTTATTTTTATAGCAATCTTCACAATGTTCTAGGCAAATATCCTAGTAATATTCTGTAAAAAAAGAAAGCTTCAGAAGTGTACAGCTTCTCTATAAAACTTCCCTCTTAAATTCCTCCTAATTGCCCATTTTTTGGAAAACGTTCATGGGAGCACAGAATTTCAGATTAATGAGGATTAACAACAATGCACCATACTAAACAAAAAGCAAATCTAATTAGTAACTTCAACTAACACAAAAAACTAATAACTAACTTCAATTCTCACTATTTGCTTTGTAGGTTCTAAGCATTCGATATCTCTCAGATGTTTCTCTCTGTATCCTCCCACTCCCTCTGTCACATTATGTCTCTTGAAAACTGCAAGGCTAATGGAAAAATAGGCAATGTGAGAAAACTATATCTAAATGTTTAATCATTACCGATGAATCTGCTGTTCAGCTTTTTGAAACATACTGATGAGAGAATGATGATCGTTTTATTCTAACAAATTTTAAGCCAACCAACCATCTGAATTGCTCATTCACCTCTTCTGACAGATAAGTGATGAGTTCTACGTCAGAAGTGAAACCTCTCTCTTAAGCCTCTTCAAATCAACAAGAAGACTGCAAATTCAGCCTTCACTGTTCTCATATGCATTGCTCTGTTCAGCATTTTCTCTTTAGCTATTATTATTCTTATTATTAAATAGTTATACAAGATTTCTTATAATGAGACCAGTCTTCTATCTCTTCTGTTAAGGCTGCTACTGAACACTTCAGCACACTGTATGCTCTGGCACATCTATAGTTACACCATTATTTCAAGGCAAAATACATCATAATGCATTACAGCATTATGCAAGTCATCTTATTATAGACCCTACTTGCTCAATAAATTAAGAATTAAAAAAAAACCCAAACCCAGATGGATTACTGTGGTTCAGAAGCTTTACATGAAATCAAACACAAGCTGTTGTGTTCACCCAGAGTAAGCCGGACATGGACTGGCTCTTACTAGACAGCTAGCTTGGAATATTCTTTCTTTCCAGAAATTTTCCACCACACAGAATTCCTGCCTTCTCAGGGATATAAAACAGACGTGCCACACCTGTCTCAGAAAAAGCAGAATAAGCTACCCTTTAGGTGATTCTGTCCTGCAGCCTCCACACAAAGCTTTTTGAGAAACAGACAGAGTGCAGCCTTTTATCTTTCTAAAAGGAGTGCCATTTGCCAGCCCAAATTCATGCTTTCCTTTAGGCACTTCAGCTGTTGAAAATTCCTACAATACTAGCAAGCTTCATGCATCCTACCTGGAATGGTTGAATGCTTGTTCCTTCCCAAATGACTTTTTCCCACTTATATAGTCTTTGTGTACTGGTTGTGGGGAAGACCAGCTCAGCTTTAAAATATCTAGTCAGCCATGCACGGAGAGCAGTAGTCCTGCCTAACCACAACAGCTTAAGCCATGAAGCCTGAGGTCTTTCTGCCTTTCTTTTTAGTATGTATAACTACAAATGCTAACACAAGTCATAAAATTAATCAACCTTTTTTACGACTTGTTGTATTGTATTCCTATTCCACAATAACTTTCCAAAAGCAATAAACAAGTGATACAGCACATATGTGATAGTACAATGGTTGCCCTTAAAATTTGCTTTTACTGTTCTCATCACTGTATTTAGCACAGGATACAGTGGCTAATTTAATTTGCCTCCCCCTTCCAAGACCACTGCTTCAAATGAATTCATTTAAACAGGCATTGCAATAAAATACACCATTTTTTCTGCATTTTTTTCTAGTGAAAGATAGACTAGTACAAAACAAAAATCAAGACAGAATGACTGTTTAAACATGCATCTCATCTGCAACGTTAGCTGGAAGGTGTTCCTGCCTTCATTGAAACACTGTGCAGTATCTTTGCTAGAAGACTATTCCCACTTTTTCCCCCCACATCAGCAATAAGTTTGTTCAAGCAATAATCTGAATGACTTTGCTAATAGCATTATCTCTGAAGAGATACTCTGAATGCATTCTTTCATTACACCTAGCTCTACTCAAGGTATTTTGTTCTTATCATGATGACTGTTTTCCTGGTGAAACTTGGAGGAAAAGGTGCCTGAAGGTTCAGACAACAATACTTTTTTTTATTCTACAGCAGATACAAATTAAGGAACACAGAAAGACATATCACTGCTTAGAATTATAGTAGTATTATGCCAGAGGCAGAAAAAAAGACACAGAATAACTTCAATACCACTACTGGTGCATTAATGTTAAAATCACGTTCTTAGTAGTACAACAAGGCCTAACAAACTATACTGCAGCACTAACAAAATCTCCCTAGTGATGGTATCTAGATAGAGGGGTTTTTAAGTCAATATTAAGAATTAGAGATTAATGCCTTATACTAAGAGATTTTTTTTTTTTTTTTATACCAAAACTTCCATCTATCAGATTTCGGGACCATAATTTTTAGATTGTTCATAGTCTCTTCTAGAAAGCAGCTAAGCAAAACATACCCATAATCAGCTCTAAGTTAGATACAGTTATAGAAAATGGATTTGGAGCCCTGGGAGAACATTTCATAGTTAGAAAAAAAGATTATTTAAAAAGCATTACCTGTAGCTGGCATTTGTAGGGGTATACACCTATCTTTTTGGACAGTGTCCTCAGGTAAAGAAACGAGTCTTTTGGCAAGCACTGCAGAAATTGGTTGTACTAAGAGGGTTGTGAGGTTCAATCGATTTCGTCTGTAGCTTCCATCTTAAATGGACAGAAAGAGACCAGTAATTTAGTAAATGAAAATTAGAAGATTTCTGCATCAACAAAACAAAATAAGCAAATATCTACAATACAGCTTAAAACAACTGATTTAGATAAGCAGACATTATTTTGTACTTACCTTACTGAAAAAAAACACCAAACCCACCTTCAAGAACACGTGCCACAAAATTACATGTACCTATTATAGTATTTGGGGAACAGGGCCACAAGAAGGAAACTGTCAAAGAGTCCAAGCAGATATTACATTGTGTGTGACTTAAACACAACAAATTAAATTGGTGTGTAGTTAAAGGAATCAGCGAAAAGCAGAATTACTGATCAGCAATAACTTTCAAATTCAAGTAAGAACTGAACACAGCCTTACAGCGAAGAGCAGACATTTAAATAGCCTGAAATCATGCCTAAGTATCTGTCTGAATTTTAATATACACCTTCCTCTTTTAAAGAATACAGTCTGATCATCTCATTGACTCAAAGTGGGTTCAATGCAGCTAAGGTGACTAAAATTTATTTTATAAACATAGGGTTGTTTCTGTGATGGAAGGTTGAAGGCTCAGCTGAAGGAGATCTGGAATAAGAGCATACTAAACAGACAGACGCATCAAGCGGAGGAAGGTACAGATCAGAAAGCACTAGAATACTTCATTTACAGCTTTAAGATCTTAAGAAGCCAGAGCATAAACCTCCCAGTATCAGCAGATTCATACATATTTTAACATCTCCCTTTAACTGAAAAAACCTGAGTTTCCATACACATGACTGTCCAATACTTAAGCATGGGAAGCTTTCTGATGAGATATTTTGGGAAACCAACTGACAGAACTGGGGCGGCGGGGGGAGGTAAAGGCAACATCTCTTCCCATGGAAAGTAAGAATACTCTTGCAGATAAAAAGCCCACCACGGAAAAGAAGAGGAGGTTCATAGCACGGGGCAGAAAACAGGTCTAGAACAACCTGCAAAACTCTAAAAGCCTTCCAATATACCTGCCCACACCGAATAATTTCCAAACTTCCAACTAGAGATTCAGAACACAAAGCCTCTCTCTGAGACCTCTATGGAACAAATACCACATATTCTGTTGACATGGAGTTCTTCACAACCAGAAGGCATCCTTTACATTCTGTGTGATGACAATCGCAAAGGGAAGAAGCTCTGAGAAATCAGCAGCACACGTTCTACTAAATTTCTATAAAATTACTATCAGGAGTGTTGTTACTGAATCACAATTTTTATTTATTTTTTTTTTTTTATAAAATACACATGCATCCTCCTTCTTTTGTTTTATTTTTGTGCTAGAAGCTCCCAAGACTTCTTACAGTATGCCCTTAATCATAATGCAAAAATTGACCAAGGCTATAACATTTAAATATGAGGAAAAAAATGCATTGTTCAGCTTGAATACAGAGTGGAAATGTTTTTAGCATTCACTTTGAAAGAATTAGACAAATTTTTAAGTGGAAAGGTGAAACTGGTTCAAAACACGATAATTTAGAAAAAGTTTTGTCTTATTGAAGTTGGGCAAGGTTGAAAATCCCTCAAAGTTGTTACTTCAGTAAATTGATAGTAAAATCAGTTTGCTCAAGCTTTGAAAGTCTGTTTCTGAAATCAAAAAGAATCCTAAAGCGTCCATTAGAGATGTATGACCGAGACATTATTTTCTGTCTATTGTTTGTCAATCTGCAGACTGTATTACCAGAGCAATGAAGCTCAAAACGTCGCAGAGGAAAAGCATCTCTCCTTTCTTCATGTACCCACAGCTTGAGCCTCACACCTGAATAAGCTGTGAAAGATACACTTTCAAGAACAACTTACAGGAGATAACCTCCCACCTTTAAAAATGAATCATTTCACAATATAAGATCAAGTTTAAAGTATGGAGGGGAAAAAAAAAATAAAATTGAAATATAAAAAGGGAGATTTAAGTTACCTGGAAGAAAAACTTTCTAATAGGAGGAATTCATAAAGACTTGCCTAGGCAGGTAGTAAAATCTCTACAACTGACATCTTTCTAAACAAAAGATTAAACAATCATCTGTCAGGAATGATGTAGATACGGTTGATCCTCTCCCGGAGGGAAGGTGCTAGATTGGATGATATTTTCCAGGCCTGATTTCTATATGATTCTCTAGTAACTGAACTTCCTGAACTAGTTATAAAGAAGCAGTATTAGAATTAATATTAAAAAATGCTTCAATAAAAAAAAAAAAAGTAAGAGTTCCTTTCCCTCTGCCAGCCATTTATTAGTTGGCATGAGAGTACGTTGTTTGGGAGACTGAGGAAAGCTATCTGCATCATGGTCAGGACTCAAAAGTGAAAGATTCAAGACCAATCTCCCCAGTAAAACACAGCGTACACTGAAAAATCTGGAGATTTCCAGGGCTACTAGTTAGAGCACAATCATTCAGTTTTTAAATACTCGTGGGCTTGGTGCTGTACCAGCTGCAAAACAGTGCAGTGCAACTGATGAAAACCAATGCATCAAAACAACTTTGCGAGATTCTTGCTTGCTCTTTCGCTGCTGGATGCCAGGCTCCTTGGAGGACATAGTCTTTCCCTGGGATGCCAGGCTCCTTGGAGCACATAGTGCTTTCAGGATCTGTGAGCACAACAAATCCTTTGAGAATAATTTAAATTTGAGATTTTGCGTGTAATGAAATTTAGTTTTACAGCATGAAAATCTTCCAAGAAACAGAATTCCTTCCTCTACGCAAGCCTAACAATCTAACCGTGCCAGGCACAAAACCGCTATTAATTTAAGAAAGACTCCAGAGAACATACTGGAATGCAAGAAGAAAAATATGCTCATCAATTATTAAGTTAATTTTAAGAGCACAAAAAGAGGCAATCTTTAAAAGGTTTCTCCATAGAAAGTGAGGACTACATTTCTACTTTTCCAACGCCTGTGTATTGTGTTTTCTTTTTCAATGCAAGAACAAACCTTGAGCACCAGTTTCCATACTGCTCAGTCTGGGACACACACTTGTAACCCAGCCTTTCATAGTGTTCTGTCACTTCACCTACTGGTCTGGGTAACATATTCTGAGATTTCTGAACAGTTTGTACTGGGAGAACATCACAGTAATACTTGTGTACCATGCGCGACTCAATTCTGGGTTAAAGTACAATTTTACCATTGTTTCAATGACTTTTGTGAAGGCTGAAAAATCAGCGCACATGAAACAGAAGACAGTTAGTCACAATGTCATACTTCTCTAGTCAAAAGAATACTGCTTTACCCAAAGCTTCTTCAGTATTATGCAATTAGGCTTTTATTTATTCTCCTCTAAAAAGTTTGTGCTCGGAGATCAACTTTCTGTTCATTTTTCTTTAAGTTCCAGATTCAGAAAAAGATTGGACAGAATATTGTTTTTCATTGTTATATGTTTCTTCGTCACCCTCTGTCAGGATCTGATAAAACAAAGTTAATAAAGAAAACTAAAAAGTTTACTGCCAAAATTCATTAAAATAATTCCTTCGATGACCTGAAACACCATTTTAATGATGTCCCCCCCCCCCCCAAAAAAGGAAAAAAAAGTAGAGTCTGACTGAAGACTGAACCATAATTGTACATACCCACATCTCTGACTTTCTGCTGCATTAATAATAGAGCAGTATTAGTTTTGAAATATCTGAAGTGAACGGCTCATTAATTTTTCACCTTAAGCTTAATAGAAATTTGACAAACAGTTTTATGCTGAGAATAGACACTCCAAGCAGGACTTCACCGCACATGATGAGAATAAATTAGAGCATGAAAGACAGAATAAAGTGTGTTTCGTCAAATAAGATGGTTCTGTCATTCAATTGCCTGAAGTGAACAGTTAGTTCAATGCGCTTCTGTGAAAGAGGCATTCTTCCATTTACGCATTCCCAGCGTATCTTCTGCACTGCCCTTTGTCAACACTTGATCTTGTATTAACCATGACAAAACCAAAAATGTATAAACTGACACGTCATAGACACTTATATCATTTGTGCTTTTAACTTGTATACAGCTTCCCTCCCCCCAACTTTGCTGATACATTCAATAGCTGTTAGGTTTCACTGGTTCTCATGAAGCTAGTCACAATGATTTCTTTATACTTATCTGTGGTTTTCCTGATTTACATCTAACCACATGCCCAGACTAAAAGGGACTGTGTGGTGCCTACTACAGGGAGACTCCACCAGCTGACTGGTGGCTCTAGGTACTAAACCCAAATGGCTGCTGTTAATCATAACAGTTCTGCTATACAGCACCTATTTTGTTACATCTTCAGCTACAGCTGCTTGCAATACTGTCCGTGAGCAGCATTTTTCAGACACGACTTCTTACTCAAAAAGCAGCCTTCAATTAAGCCTTTACATTATCAATTAATACTGCTAGGCAAGGCTCACGCTGTCACATCGGTGCATTATACATCAAGATTTGAGGTTTTCTTTGTTGCTGCTGGTTTTGCACATTGCTCTTCCAATGAATAGTTCCACAAAGTAACACCTTTCCCTAAGACAAATCTTACTGCCTTCCTATACACTTTACAATGGCACTGGCAGTGTGAGTATAGTCATACTCATAGGAAATTGCACGATTTGGTTCAAGCAGATTCTTAGAATCAGATCCTGTCTAACCTCCGGTATAAAATGTACCCATCTGCTACGCTTCACAAAGTCACCGACACATCTTTTTCTTTCCTAAATTCTCTCTTTGAACATGGGAAGAAAAATAAACTGATTCTGGCTGTCACTTGTTGCTGTAAATGGATCCAGTGAGAATGTTGATCCAGAAAAACTGATGCTGTTCTGCAAGCATCTGCTCAGTGCTTGGACGTTGGGAGTCAGATACATGTTTTTCTGCATATGAACTCCAATGGAGAGCTCTTCCTCCATCCCTCTAAAGCAAAGAAAATGGTGCTGATCGCCCACTGGTGCTTAAAATGGAAGTCAGAATGCATTTTATTAATGGGAAGGAGAAGACCATAGCTTCAGACTTAGAGAGTACCTTGAGACGTATAAGCTAAAAATATCAGCAAGGATAAGAAAAAATAACTGGTATAGACAAATGTTATTCAAGAGAAGAGCAGAACCTGGAGCAGATGCCCATGGAGCAGAAGCGGTAACAAGCCCTTTCCTGCTACATCTTTATTCAGTTCTCTATGAATTATCCACTAGAATTACATTGTGGAACATATGTCAATTTTGAAGTACTTTGCTTCACTAGCCACTGGTAGCAATATTGGGAAAGAGAAAAACATTTGCTCCTCTTTCGTAAAGAAAGAACTTTGAAATTCTGCAACCAGGGATTTTAACAGCGGCCCCAACTAAGGACTCTCAAAGCAGCTTTACGGGCAATGAAGCATGAAATGATGAACTGTTCTGCCAATTACAACAGCACTGTGGCAGCCTGCGTTTCAGGTTGCATGATTCACAAATGGACAAGGGATGCTTAGAACTATGTACTGATGCGAGAGGTGGGTGAGAAAGACGGCCGTGCCTATAAAAGGTTTATGCACATTTACGGAACATACAGAACTTGGAGGCAGTGAGGATTATCTAGAAGGAAAACAAGTTACTGGGAGTACTCAGAAAGCATCTGAAAAAACATTTTCAATTTTTCCTCCGCATTGGTGATGGATAAAGAGACTTCTTTAAAACCACTTTTTAAAAAATTCCACATTCTCATGACATCAAGAGTTAATGAAAAGAGTTTAGAGGAAAAACAAAGATATCGCACCACCTGTGATAAACTCCCAAGAGTTAACAAGACCATACATTCATTGATACATACAAAAAATATATAACATTATAGAGATATTGTTTTGCTTTACAAAGTATATTCACTGTATTCTGTTTACATCACATTTTATCAATGGAGTGGATGCAAATCTGGGTATGTATTACACAAGACAGTCTCCTTAAACAGATTTCTTTTGTCCTTAAAAATAAAACTAGAAATTCTACAGCTGATATGAGAAGAAAATATACCTCTAGAACCTGCTGTCATGCTTCTCCCTCCCTCTCAAGGAAATGTGCTTAACCAATACGGAAGAGAAAAAAATGCCACTCCCCTGTCTCCTAGTGCAAATCACTCTTGTCTTAATGCCTACTTAGCGTACTTTAAAAATACTGTCAAGTCTTCTTTCTTCTTAAGATAAATGGAATAAAAAGCAACACATTTTGTAAAAGCAAAAGTGCTTTGACGCACTGATGCAAAACCATCTCATTAATCCCCCTGTTCCCTTCTAAAAATATTTAATAACATGGCAAGAATAAAAAAAAAAAAAATCCCAAAGCAAAAAAATTTTCACAATACTCTCACCATTTTGAATCCCCCTTTCCACTTAGTTTTTTTACAGTGGCTAATCATTGAAATGACATAGAAGTGGCCAGAATAGAGCAAAACTACATAATACTTCTACACTAATTGACATGGAAGTTATTTTTTTCCTTTTTACTTATCGTACAATTGTATAACCACTAAGTCATGAAAAGGAAAGAGTAATTCTTCCACATATTACAGATAGCCAAAACATATTCTTGTGTCCTAGTATCAATGGAACGTAACAGGGGAGAAAGGACAAGGTAATTCTCAGTGTTTCTATGTGAGCAAACGCTCGTCTCACCGCTGAACTGAAAGCAGCTCTCCGCCGACAGACAGCAGCTTGGGCCGTGTGACATACAAACTACTGCCCATCCTTTTGACGGTGACGGTAGAGATTCAAAAGGGTTAACAGAAGTTATATGTGTTACAAGACAAAAAATAAATAGCCCTCAATACTTTAAGAAAAAGCTTATTTTAAAAATCCCATAATCATAAAATTCAGTTTCTGCACAATTTGTATTTTGTACTTTCCTAACAGTAAAACTGCTTGAAGTAATTGCTCTGATGCTCAGAATTACTGCATAACCCAAAATATTGTTTCAGACCTATACTTAGAATTTTTTTTTTTAATCTTTCTCTTAGAGTAAAACTATTTCATGAATCCTATATCTGCAAGTCTTATGTTTGAAAGGTACCTATTTGTTGCTCCCAGAAAATATATTTCCCAGACTATTAGCTATACGATGTTCTTGAACTGGAATCTGGAGGGAAGCGCGTATGTACGTGTGCGTGCAAAAGGGAATACAAATCAAATACTGCTGTACTAAGCTTGACAGAGGTGGCTTTTCAAACTGATATAGAACATTTTGAATTCAAGTGTCGAGCACATTATGGGATTTGTTATCAGTTTCATTGAAAAAATATACTTTGGTCTGTGTCTGAGAGCTACTCGGGTCCATCCCATCTGCCTGTAATACCCTGGGTCAAGTACAGCCCCCTCGCTCCAGTGTACTCCCTTGGCTGTGGTTGTGCCATGGATGCATTTGGCCTGCTCTGTTGAAACGGACACAGAAAGCATCACTGGATCTCACATTCTGCTACTGCAAGGTAGGATCGTTCCCTTAAATATTTTTGAAAGCAAGAATTCTGAAAACATCAAACTAGGTAATAAGAGTAAGGTACTATGCAATTAACACAAAACCTATTCCATACTTCATACTTTATAATATAGTTTATAGATACATATTTTGTCTTGAGCATAAGCACTTTATATTTGCTTCCACAATGCCTTTTACCTCCAAGGTAAGTAAATGACATTTCTTTTTTAAAAGAACGTTATAATGCCCAGACTTTGTAACTGCCTTTTCCAACCTGCAGTGTCATATTCCAGTCAGACCTTACATAGTTTCTGGTACTGGTTTCCTTTTCCAGTCTGGTAGCAGCCCACGGTGAGAAAACCAGCAATGATAACGTAGCAGCTCTTGTTTCCTGAATGGGCAAGCAGCTTTTCTCTAGTTTATGGCTAGTTATAATAATTGGCTGGTTAGTAGCTCTCCCATGCTTTTTGAAGGAGATGTAAGGATGAGAATAGGGAATAACTGCTGTCAGTCAGTTTACTTTATGTTTACCCAGCAGAACCAAAGATTTCTCTCCCTCCTGCAAAAAGGATCCAGGTAGCCAGGAAGCATGGCTATCTACTCAGTAGCGGGACCACTAAGTCACACTGGCAGATAAGGCACAAAGCACCTCCTGTATGAATTATGCTTCCTGTTAACCACTTCAAGAAATAAGCAACTTCTGGCACATTCAAGAGTTAATGGGCTGGCCTTATAGCTTGTTCCCTCCTGAAATAAACTGTGGTTTTCTATGCTGGTGATGGCCACTATAGACAAAACAACAAACATGGAAATGAGACACTGATAGAGATTTCCTTCCCTTTGGTGATGATCAAGACTACAAATAGCAAAATAACTGTCTTGCTTTAGGTAAAATATGTTTGCAGCAACCAGAATATACATCACGTTCCATACACCATCATTGTTCTGGTTACGAACAAGCATGGAGTCCTGTTTACCCACAAGAATGAGATTTATTGTTATTAAAAATAATAAAAGCCCTATAACACTCTACAAGGAATGGAATGGAAATAGAAAATCTCTAAGAAAACACTGAAAGTGACAGGTTTAGGATACCAATTATTTTGTTTATAGCATGTAGTGAACACTGCAATGACTCAGAATCACGTGCTGTCTGTATATATTTGGTGGACAACATGAAATAAAATTGCATATGTTATCTGTGGTACACTATGCTTTTCTTACAATAATATGCATCTCTGATTTATTCTTCCATATTTGTGTGAAATCACGGAAAGTCACATTTTGGCTTCAGTTTGATGACGTACGGGATCATCCAAGAGCCTGAAGTCTCCCTCTTTTCCCACGGCTTGTTACTTATTCCCTCTCCCCACACTGCAGTGCCATTAATTGTGCCGGCACAATCGTTTCAGCGGCCATACTACGAACTAGATCAGCAAACGTTCTTGAAGTTCTTTAAAGCTAGATCAGTTCCCCAACCCGTATCACAGCAGTGCTCTGAACAGATAAATCAGCAAGGAGGAGGCAAGCTGGGACAAGGCGGTGGATGGGGTGGCGGGAATTCCTCCAGTTCCTCCCAAAGCCCTGTATTGTCAAACCACCATTACGGAAGATACTCTTGTCCTCTAGGACACAAAGCGACTGTTCCTTGGCACAGGATGACACTTAAATATGCACATCAACTCAAAAGCTACTTACAGCTTTAAAAAAAAAATCTTTATACTTTCCATTTTCTCTAGAGTTCTTATTATCTAAAAAAACAGCTTGTCTCTTGATTTGCAAGGGAGCCTTGAATTTGAAAAATCAGATCCTGGTAATACAATCCTCAAACAGGAAAAAAAAAAAAATATTGTTACTGTGTTAGGGTCTGGTTTACAAGGAACTAACTGGTAAATCTATCATAATCATGCAATAGTTGAGTAATGACCGATCAGAAATGAGATGTTAATCACAGTTCAGATCCTAATGGACGGACGCCTGCATACGCACAGCTACGTAACCGGAACCAAAAGCAACAAGAATCCTTGTCAGCCCGAGGACTATTTGAAATACTGAATCGCAGCACACACACTGAATCAGCCTTCTGCGTATATTTCTGGTTCCTTCCTGCAAGGGTTGAAGCAAACCAACAGGACATCTTCACTTTCGGTCCATATGTAAAAAATGCTGGTTTACATATGCTGTGTTGGCTAAGACCTTAAAAATTATTACTGTTCAATTGATATTCTGGAACATTTCTGGAGAGGTATTTACTTTTATTATGTACGAATACTCTGATTTAAAGTAACAATTCTATGTGTGTTGCATTCTAGTATTAAGGTACACAATTGGGTTTTTTTTTTTTTTGCTCCTCTTTGTACTATGATAATGAATGTAAAATCAGGATGGCCTAGATTGCTTTCTCTTCTCATTCTGCATAGCTCTGTAGCTCCCCCTTGCCACATTTGCTTTCTTATCAGAAAAATATTTCC